CCCTCACTAGGGCCACATTAGGAGATCATTTTAACTATTATTTTAGAAACTTTCTCAGGAGATCAATTTAACTATTATTTTAGAAACTTTCATGTCAGACAGTTACTCAGTTTGCCCCAAACAAACACAGGCTGAAAGTTAGCATGACATTATTGTATGTTTCTTGATACAATTTGACAAAAGTAATTTTCAGTAGAAATAACTGGAACCTTGAAAAGGTGGCACAATATGTCTGAACTTAGAAATAAAATAAATACAATTTGAATAAATACATAAAATTGATCTGCATGACAATACACTGGATGTTGCTTATATTTTACAAGGAGAGGAAATATTATGTAAATCACCTTCTTCATCATACGAAATATTGAGAACGGTATAACATGAAAACACTTATTGTACATGCCGAATGCCAACAGAGTAACATAAGGATTTTTCCACTTTTCCCGTTTTTTTTTCAAACATTTAAAAAAAATATTGTTCATATACTAAATCATGAGCGCTGGATAATGCATTATTCTCAAGTGTGGCTCGAATGCATCATTAACTCGCCTACAGTGACCCACTACAGCAAGTCAAAATGAACAACACCCAACCCAAACTGAAAGAACCATCCAGTCTGCTTTATCATCTAAGCACATTAGTTGGACAAATAGCCTATAATTTCCAGCATCACAAAGAAAGAAATCACAGTGTGCACGAGTAAGAAAATGAAATTTTTGCACCTCTCTACCTTGAATGAAAGGGAGGCAAAAAAGAAACAATTTGCCTCAAAGGAATATTGTGAGCAAGACCATACAGTGTGACCTGGAGCTTTCTGTATCATTGTCTTCTTTCAGAATCTCAAGGTTTCCTTGATGTACAGACCTAGAGCACTGATATGAAAAGATACAGTAGCAAGGTTTCCACTTCATTCACATCAATGCTTGTTTTGCTCTGCTGACTAACCTTCCAGTTACTGTCCTTTCTCTTCACTGACCAATGAAGCCATGTTTGAGAGAAATAAATTCTTTAAAGATACAGAATGTGTGAGAGAGTATTGAAACAGTCAAGAAACGAGTCGTGCTGTCTTCTGTTTCCAGCTCGACTTCCATCACAGCCAGTCTTGTGGTTCGGCCATTTTAAGACAAGACAAGAGGACTGTAAAGTTTACAGCCTGTCACACATTTGCTCCTGCGTTGCTCAGGGACAGCCCTAATTTAAACTAAACATTAAAGACGCAACTTTAACAAAGATTTATTCATCCACAGGAACTATGAGATCAACGATTTGCAGTTGTATTCTTACTCAGATAATGCAAACAAATTAAACACATGCCAAAAAACTAAATCATGACATTATATTTACACAAAATTGTTTGTATAACTTACTTTTAATTCATTATTAATTAATCGTTCTGTCCAAATTTCCAAAATAAAACATTACTGTTCTACACAACAACCCATATATTGATACTGACATTGATATCGCCCTATATTGTACTGTATTGTATTAAACAATTTTTGGCTGTGACCAGGGCGAGAATATACAGAACAAAATTTGGCAAAAATGACAAATCAAATAGCCTGTAGCTTTTAGGTACAGCAACATCACAGACAGTTCTATACAGTATGTTAATCATCATTGTCACAGCTGTAGATTACTGGGGATATGTTTTGCATTGGGTGTATATTAAAACTGGACTGTGAGTCGATATCGACAATGACAATATCAATAGCTGACGAACATGAGGTAATAACATCAACTGATCAGATTTGTCTCATTCCTTCCGTCTTTCCCTCTCTGTATTGAACCCCACATCTCCTCAGAGTTAATAGAAGAGGAGTGTTGATGAGAAACAGGAGAAAATGGGGGCTGTTAAAAATGTATTGGGAAAACAACCATACACAGACTTAACATACAAATTACAATTTTCATTCTACCCCAGTGATTGCCAACCTGAAATCTCAAGTGTGATTAAAGGGATAAGAAAGGGAAAAAAAATACTGTTGCACAAGAGTATGTCGTCTTGTGATGTTGCTATATTTTAGCCTTTTTTCTGTTCACATCCACATGAGGTTAGAACCTGTGGCAAGGGATCACAAGCACATATTGCTTCATTTTCATTGGTCAAAAGCCAAACGAGATGGGAGCCACCAGTCTCCCTGACCTGCAGGTCTTTGAACTTTGCGGGGAAACCGTCGCTTTAGGGGCAACCCAGACATGCAACTCTATATAGGACCTTCTGGCTGGCAGACCACTGACACATCATTTCATAAATGAGCCAAATATCTCTATATTTATGTGTAAAAGAGAGAGAGCAAGAAAGCGAGTGGTTCAAAGAGCAAGAGAGAGAGGGAGATTAAAAGGAGAAAGGCTGTGACAGCCACAAAAAGAGATGGACTGCCTATTCCAGCTTCATTTTGCCTGTAGCACACATTTGTAGAGTAAGTGCCAATATTCAAGCTCTTTAAACATTCAGAGCCTTGTCACTGATGTTAAATTGCCTCTTCTAAGCGAGCAAATACTGGGGAGCATATAATAACAAGACAAACAAAAACTATTCATCTGTTTAAAGCTAGCACTTGTTAAAATGAAGTGTCTCTATTGAGATAAGAAATTCCTGCCACAGACATCTTACAAAACATGATTCCTCTTTATCAACTGCTTCATATTGTGTTTTCGCTCTCTGAATATGAGGCATTGTTTACACTGGCTTGTGTTGGCGCTTGTCTTGATGCAAACTTGTGAATGACACCCTGAAAAAGAACCAAGCATTTGTTGAATAACGGGGACGTTAACCTTACCTGAAATCAATGACATAAAGACTTCAAATACTGCAAATACTAGATGACAGTGAGCATAAATATATATTTAGATACAATTATCACCAAATGTCAAAGCAGTAACAATTCTTCAGTTATTAGGAAACAGTCTGCAAAAGCCCACACCCATTAGTGCACCAAATTGATTATGGTCACTCTTTCCACTTTACCACATTATGTGTTATTGATGTGAGCTATTATTCAGAATTATTATTTCAAGTCCTTCTTTAATGGTATGAAGAAAAAAATGAGGTGATGTAATACAAATGACTCCATTTCCAAACATATTTTTCCCTCAAGTTGAGCAGAGTTCAAAATCAGGGGATTTAACTATTCTACAAAAGCATCAACCCTCAAAGCACAGGGAAACAGACTGACACAGACTGTCTATTGAATCGATGCAAATGAACCTCTATTACAGAATGTCAGGATTTTTGGTTTGACTTCAATAAGCTCTTGTCACAAAGAATAAAAAAGCATCGAATTTTATCTGTAACTTCAACAATCACTTGTCTTCGCCGTGTCTGATTACAAAATATATCATATTTCCTGGGGGGATTCGTTTGCATTGCTCTGTAATTCACATGAAGTCACATTCAAAGCAATAACACTGCAGACAACTAATTTAAGATTGAATCAGTCTGTAATCCCCTTGCATTCATAGAGAAAGAGAGCAATGAGCAGCACACTATAAGGAAAGAATGGCAGTGTTAAAATTGGTTATAAATAAAAAGACATTTAAAGCAGAGCACATGTGGAGTGTCTGTTTACTCAGCCCTCTTCACCGCAGCTGTGGCAGCACTAAAATCTGTGATCGAACAAAGTGTGAAATCGGTGAGAGTTTGTCCTGTTCCTGTTGTGATAATTCTCTAACCATTTTATTCTGAGATTTAATAATTAAATAAATAAAATAAAAAAAACAACTCTGATGCAGGTTTTGAGGGCACAAAAAGCTTTAGTTGCAAACAAGTGAGGCTAGCCCTCAGTAAGTAAACAAAGGATTATGATTACCACTTAACACATGGAAAATTCTATAATCATCAACAGGTTTTAACTTGAATTTATACTGCAGTTCTTCTTTTAATTTTAACAAAACCAAATAAGCAAACAAAACTCATAGCAGAACGACTGATGTTTGTAAACTACGGTATATTTCTAATGAAGCTTTACTTTAAAGGTTTCCTATCACTCCTGTCACTTGTTGCTGTTGGTGTATATTACTTACTGCAGTACCAGTATCCTGCTGTCACTCTGTTTAACTTGTCTGGCAGGGCATTGGCAATAAAAAGATTAAGCCACTAATTGAAACCTTGCTTGGCGATTAACACATTTTCAAAGCATTAGAACAACCCCGGCCATGATTAATATACACCTGTCATAACTAATTACATTAATAGTGGAGAATGATTAGGCTTGTCTTGCCGTGTCTTCCACTCCTCCTCCACCACTCTATCACACTCTCTGCTCTTGATTAATAGATGTGAGGTGGCACGTGACTTTGTGGGGATAAACACTAGGAGATCATATAAACAAGACCTGGGAGTCCTCAGAGAGTGTTCCCAAACAACATTTCCAATTCACATTTGTATTGACAAACCTTTGCTCAGTTTAACCTTTCTGAAAGATCTTTGGATGGTGCTATGCAGTACTGCAAAGCCTTTTAGGTGCAATGAGAAAGGCAGATTAGGATGTATGAACTGAGAGAGTTGTGTTGAATAATCTTGAGTGGGTCTAATCAGTGATCGACAGACCATAATGAGAAAGGCTGCACACGAGGCCATTTTGGATTTTGTGGAAGGAGATTCTGTGATTGATGTCTAGAAGAAATAGCATATAATTAGTGGTTAATATGCACATCAATGCCAATCTCTAAATAAATTAAATATGGTGAAAAAAAAAAAGACGAGTTCACAATTGAGTAATCAGGCCTTTTGAAAGGCTATCATTTGCTTGATTTTACACATCTAGCAATCATTGTTTAGTTCTTACATTTTTGACTGATTGTGGAGCAGCTTTTCATTCATATGACATATTCTGGTCTTGATTGCCAGTAAAACACAGCATCGGAACATATATAAGTTAAACCTAAAATGGTGATCATAAAATGCAATTAATTATGAAGAAATCAAGTCAGTCCGATCTGGGGCATAATTTCATGAGTTGGAATTTTTGTGTTGTTAATGTTTGTTTTTTTAGACCACGAGCGGATCGGGAAAGATTCATCCTACGAACAGGAGGGGAAGGTACAGTTTGTGATTGACGCAGTTTATGCCATGGCTCATGCTCTGCACAACATGCACAGAGACCTCTGTCCTGGAAAAGTTGGCCTCTGCTCCAAGATGGACACCATCAACGGCACACTGCTGCTCAAGTACATCCGCAATGTCAACTTCACAGGTGTGTATTCCCAATTCTATGCATGAACACTGACCAATTTTGCTATTTATTTAAAAAAAAAAAAAAAAAATAGAACATATACATGTCACTCACTATTCACTCACTTAGAGTGTGTATGGTATTACAAGAGGGGTTCACTAACATTTTCATGCAGAGGCTTTGTGAGTATACAGTGGTCTCCAATTATCAGGCTACTGAATGTAAATTACTCCCAGCAAGTGGCTGTGATCTGTAGGAGGGTTGACAATCAGCAGCAGAACAGCGTGGTTTATCATTGCTGATGATGCACAGGAACTGTGCTTTGTGAGATTTCCCGCCTTATCTTGTCAGCATTGAATTGCCCACGCATGAGATTTCCTGCTTCAAGTGCACTGGCTGGTGAGTTAAAATTGTACATAAATGAGGGGGTGGGGGTGGGGGTGGGGGGCAAGACAAAGGCAAAAACAGGCAGCAGTTTTGCAGTGGTTGTCCAATGTAAACTTAAGTTCTATGTTTTTAGTGTTACTGACAAATGTCATGTGCAGATTTCATCTTTGTCCAGAAATAGATACGAGTTAAATACACTTTCTGTATGTACCAATGGCTGTATGTAAAGATGGGCGATGCATCTCCACTTCCTGCCACTGCAAAAAAAAAAATGAAGCCAAAATATCCCCACCCATGGGTGCTAGCACCTAGCACTAGTGATGTCATTTGAAGTCAGAGTCTGTGCAGTAGTGATCAGGGCTGAACCTCTGGTATCGAGATCTTGCCCGACCACCTGCATGACTCAACTGCGATGTCAATCGCAGCTGTCAATCATGACGTCACACCCCCCGTCTATCTTTATATACAGGCATTAGTATGTACTCACGACACAGGTCACGTAGCTTTGACGCTTGCATTTTATAAGTCTAAAATGTAATAGAGAGAAAAGTTCTGATGTCTGATGTTCAACTAGCTTCTGTAACTTCATGCAGTGCTACAGCCCCTCAACTTGCCCATGGACTCACCTATTTTGTCAAGGCATGATGTTTAATATGCACTGGTCTTGGGCTTATGGGAAATGGCGTTCATTAAAGGCCACTATAAAGTAAAATATTGACAATATTAGATCATTTTATTTTAAAAAATGACAAAAATGGACGTCCTTATCTGGAGGAAACCACACCTAATGAGTATTATATTTCAGGGCTGATTATTCTGGTTATATGCATTATTACAAATATGTCAGTGTACTTTTGAATGAGGTTTTTTTATGTCTGGAACAGAACCCAGAAGTTCAAGTGCTCCACTGAGGCCTAGCAGACAACCTTGTATGTCATCTGGATAAACTGCTATTGTGTCATAATGATGAAATTAAAAAGAAAAACTGCTTTTGGAAATCATAGTAAATGATGACAAGTGTTGATGAACATGATAAAATATTTAGCAACAGTGTACAAACTGATATATATTTATGATGTTGAAAGTTAGGTTTTAATTTACATTATAAAAACCTGATGAACATGATTATACAAAAGTAACACTTTCATAAACTGTAGCAACAAGTAAGATGCACTTTGAAACTTTGAAAATTAATTATAGGCTTACATGTACAAGAAAAGATGCATATATAGGGAGGGCATGAAAATAGCGTGCGCACGAAATTAACCCGCTGACTTGACAAGACATAATGAAAATGTTTGCAGACTGGGGTCTAACTTAGGTCAGCATTAGTAGTTATAACAACTTTAGATAATTGTACATCAGAGGGGTAGAGGGTCAGGGTATTCATGCAATCAAGCAGAATGCAACAAAGAGCGCTCTGACACAGTCTCAAACCAGCTCCATCCTCAGATGATTATACAGTAAGGGACGCATTTATTCGATGACAATTACAGAGTGGGATCCCTGGTTCAGGGGCAGTCAAGCCACAGCAAGTACGTGGTGGAATTCATACAGTAAATGAGAAAAACAAATGAAACTTCATGAAAAGAAAAAAAAAAAAAAAAAAAAAAAAAAAAACACTTGTCCACTGCTGCAGAATCCAGAGTTCAATTTATTTCATTCCGACTTTTATTCATACTCAAGAAGTTTGTTGAGGTCGCCCTCATTTACAACAATCTCGACTTGCCAGCATCAATGCCTGCAATTTGGTCCAAGGCACACAACTGGAAGTGGAAAGCAAGAGATTATGTTCCACACTATCAACTGCTACTGATTGGATCAGCGGCTAACCCTAACTTTTTGGGGGAAGAGTATAAATTTCATGTTGACTCTCCTGATGAACACTGTTATTGTCAGGGAAATCAAGGAGTTAGTAACTCTAGAGACTTTCCTTACAGGAAACATTATGGCTTTTGCTATTGGCTCAAATTGCCTACTGACAGCCAACACTGCTTTCTTTTAACACAGTATTTTCCTGACCTCAACCAAGTAGTTATTTTAAACACAACAAACCTTCCTAACATGAACTAAGTAGTTTTACTACCATAACCTAACACTGGGTAAACACTATATGTTAGTTTTTTTAATATGTACATTGCGTTAACCCACACTAAACATCTTATTCACTGGCCTGAACATGTGACTTTTATGTTTACACTGTACAGATCAATATAGCAGCCAAGACGTGGCTGCTCGCACTGAATATTGCACAGAACTCCCGGTTGGTTCTGTTTAGTGACAAATCCAATACCATGAAAGGAAAGCAAGATGGAAAAAACAAGAAAAATATGGAGGCATATGCCTGGAAGATGTGTAGCGTAGTTCAGTTTTGTATCATAGCGAAGTTTTTGTCAAGACTGACTGACTGACTAACAACAACCAATCTGGCAGAAATTGAGCCTGATTCTAAACTTAGAAGAGGATGGCAAGTTAAGGGCTAAAACCTGAACAATAGCAATGGCAGATCATGGTTTTATGTTGATATGGTGTCAGATCAGGAAACCTTGTATGTGCAAGTTTGGAAGATGCTGACAAACAAACATATTTTTTTACCTAGTTTGGAGGACTTATTGGAAGGCACATGGTAGCACAGCCCCGCAGGGTGACAGTAGGGGCTGGCAGCAACAGAGATCAATTTTGTTGGTAAATGAGGAAAAAAAGACAAAAAGGCAAAAAGATCCTTAAGTAAGTAATGGTAAGGTATTTACAAAAGAAAACACTGAAAATAATACTATAAGTTAAGTATGGATTAACATATTTTTTTTGTCATGTAGTCAACATAACCTTTATTGCTGGGGATAATAAAGGTTAACTTGACACTTAGGTTTGCAGCAGTTGCCTTTCATGCCTAATGGATATTGAAAGCAAACTCTGCAGCGCTCTGCTGTGTTTTACTGTAGGCCCTATCTTCAAAGTCAAAACATTGTTTACCTGTTCCTGAGTGTGCATATTATTATGTAAGCAGGTCAGCCCTCATTTGTGGAAGATAAAAAAAGAAAAAGAAATTGTTTGGAGTTGTATTCTGAAGTCACATTTGTTTACAAGATGAATCAATTCTCCCAGCAACAGAGTAAAGCTTTAATCTGAAATAGTGTATAACAGGTTTGTTTTATAGAATTAAATTTAAATTCTTTATGCATTCCTTTATTCATGGTGTTATTTTACTGGAAGGCTTGTCAGCACTGAAGCCATTGGGGTTACAACAGGATGGCTAGAAAATCAATGCTACACATTACTGGAATACCACCTTGCTTTTAAGAGTCTCTTGGCTCAAAGGGATGGAGAATTTAAAAGGTTTGTAGGAAAACAGCAGGAAACTCTACATGATCCCATTGTATTCTGGGAATTGTCTATAGTCATCCACGCTGACTAAAGGAAAGAGGAAACCCAAGCACTACGGATATTGTAGATGAAGTTGCTGCTTATCGATGTATGGCATTAAGATTGAAATCCCAGTGATGCTAAGGGAAAACGCAGCTGGTTACATTCAGAAATAGTACACACTCAGCGGTGCTTAAGTCTATGTTTTTCCTGAGTGCATTTTGTTTTACGAGGTAACCTTGCTAGACATAAAGCAGATACCAGAGCAGTGTTAAACTTGTTGTGATTAAAGGTTGGCTGTAACATCAGCGTTTCAATTTAGTCATTTTAAGCTGCCTGTTTTCATGAGGTTTGATTACTAATTTAATGTGGATGTAATGCGTGGAAGGACTCGGTCACAGGATCGTATGCCACTATATTATAGAGTGATCTGCAAAAACATTACTAATAGTAATTAAGCAGTGTGAAAAAAGATTTTAATGTGGATTTGTGGAGCCACTTTTCTTTATATAAGAAAAGAGTCTACTGCTCAGACCAATGCAAACTATTGAATTATCTCAAATTAAAGGGAGTAAATACTGGTTAATAATGGACTGTGAACTAGACATATTAAGCAAAATAGCCAATCATGAGGATACAGTACAGTTGGAAAAACTAAACTATTTCTGAGGTCGGTATCATACAAGAAGGAACTCTGAAAAGATAATCAACCCCAGCCTTGGCTGCATTAACTCTGCCCAATTGAATGACTAATAACCATGTAAGGTTTGGCCTCTATTTAGAGTAGAAATAAATTACAGTGTCTGACATCTCGGAAACTTGGTATTTCAAATTAATGCTTTACATTTATAAAGAAAGAGGATAATGCTGTTTTCTTTAACTTGTTTTGTTTGGTTATTAACAAATGCCCTCAAAGGAATTGAGTTCACTGAAGCCACCTCCACACTTTTTAAGTTCAGCAGCAAAATCTGTATCTTATGTTGATCAGTTTTTATTCGACATTTGTAAACACATTAGATTTCTCCTGGCTTTGGCTAATGGCTTTTAATGGAGTGGAAGGGTCATTCTCGTATTACTGCAGCCGTGGCATCCTAAAAATGACTGTTTTGTTTGAATACGTTGTCAGTTCTTAAGAGAAACAGAGTACAGCTTTAAATGAGTGTCAATCATCAATAAACAGGCCTTGAAATAAAAAAATAAAAAACATAAGCAGGTTTGGAATTTCAATGAGCAGCAACTTGCATTTACTACTGGGAAGATTTAAACTGATATGAATTTCAGGGACTCAAAACAGCTCTGTTTCACTGCCACTGTCACAACTGCAATGAGTAAATGTTAATCATGTTTGTATATTTTAAATTGGATTTGAAACTGAATGTAATTAATAATACAGTGCCTACACACTGTCCTGCACTCATCTTCTCTCCACAGTACAGTTCATTTAGCTCTCAAAGCGTTAACATGGAGTTTCTTTCACACATGGTTATGAGTCCAGTTTAGCACATTTAGAGTTAAATTAAGACAATTTCACTGTGACCATTTCATTTTCATTCGATGGTTTTTCCTATATTGCATGGCTTACATCTTGGTGCAGTGTTTCCTCAAAAATTTGACGCGGTTATTAAACAAGCAGTTTGTTAATATTTGCTGGCTGTGCATGAAAACTGCAATGCCTTTCTGCAAGTTAAGAGGTGAAACTAATCGATTAAAGCAATCAAATTAGTAGGAAAATACATCCCACTCAATTCCCTGTATTGCTGAGATGGGCAAGAAAATCTTCATAATTACATGACTGCCTGTTGTTGTCTTAGACATGCCCTCTAGATAATGCAGCAGGATGGTGCTAATGCAATTAAATCCTATGGGTTTTAATCAAACCTCTGACACACACTAATTTTCAGAGGGGAAAAAATAAATCTGGTCTCAAAGTCTGACAAACAGGTTTCCAACTCTGACTCACAGGTTCAAAGAACAATCAACAATCAATACTGTGACCTATTAAAGAGAACAAAACACTCATAAATAATTATTTTTATTCTTTGATTTGTGGAACATGAACAACTCTGAATCAAGTGTCTGGGCATGATGCATATCCTCATTCTGTTGCAGAAAAAGGCAGCTCTAGCATCTAGTGTATTATTTTGCAGGCAATCCAAAACACACTTCAGCTGGAAGTGAACTAATGCCATTTTTTTGTTTTTGGACTTTCCACGCCCCTATTTCAACATGCTTCAGAATTGCTGAGTATTGAGGGATTGCATCGAAGGAGAGAAAGCAAATTTGGTAGGAGCAAATAGAGATGGGAACCTCTAAGACACTCAGTGGTGGGTTTCATCACAAAATCTGCAAATTCTCGTTCTCTCACACCACAATTTTATAACAGGTTGTGAAGCTGGAGAGGGGTTTGTAGGTTGGCTCAGAAACAGACAGAAACAGGAAGTAGAGGGATGAGAGAGACCTCAAAGTGGTAATCAATATCAGTGCTGTCATTCATTAGCACTCTGAGTGGGGACCTTGTGGATAACAAGCAATGGGGCAATAAGCAGAATGAAGGAGTGTGAAATGATATGGGAACATGAACAGACAGCAGCCCTGGCCCTCCTCAAAGGACCAGGAAAACATGGCTGTCAACATCTATTTTGCTCCCATCATTATCACTGTAACAGCATTGGCTTGAAGTCCCCTTGCAGCCTCATTTCGTCTCAGGGAATTATGAGAACAAGAGCTTGAGTTTTTACTGTATTGTCCAGCACTAGAGTTCTGCAAGTTACAATCTGCCCTGTAAAATAACAACCACAACCATTTTTAACCTTTTTTCTTTTTTATCCTCAGGAATTGCTGGCACACCGGTGGTCTTCAACGTGAATGGAGATGCTCCTGGTCGCTATGAAATCTACCAATACCAGATCGCAAATAACATGACAGAGTACAAGATCATCGGCCACTGGACAGATCAACTCCACTTAGACGTATGAATATTTTGAATATTAGTTAAAGTATGTCTGGAAGGTGGTATGTTTGAAACTTCTGACAATGTGAGTGACAGATTTTTGTGGTGGCTCAATATCTACATTAGACTTTGACCATCAGCCAAAGTGATGTATCATCAGACACCCCATATTTGGCTGTTTAGCATATCATTACTGTTGAGCATTTAGTCCCGACAAGAAAATACAAAAAGAACATGACATTAAAACTACAATCTGCAGCTTCACCAACTGCAAAGACTGTTCTGACCATCAGTCCTGCAGAAAGGTACTTAATGAAGGAATTGTAGGAGGGAAGTTTGTCACAATTATTTACAAGAAAAAGCTGCAATGAAGTGTGCCTGTCATCAATTAGGACAAAAGCCAATATGATCTCAAAATATACATTCTCATTTGAATTTATTTTCCTCCAACAGTGCCAGAGCAGCCTCTTAACTTGTAACCATTATCTGTGACATTTACAGCAACTCTAATATTGTCACTTCATTTATTCACCTTCTCATAACTTATCACTGTTATCAAAGATTATACAGAATGCATCTTGCTTATGTCGGGTTTCATAGGGCAACAGTCGACGGGATAATATTATTAATAAATCATCCTCTTTCTGGTTGGCTTTAAAATTCATAAACATGCAGGCTGACAAATGCTTTAGGTCAATACAGAAACATGAACAGTATTTCCACAACATTTCCACTGACAATTATGCTCATATGAGTGGGTCTACAATGAAGTAAAAAGACAAGGGCATCTTTCTGCATTAACCTTATTTTGACATTTGCCATCATTAATAGTCTTACCAGTTTGCTCTTCAGCATACACATATGCATGGAGCATAAAATCTGCAGTGTTACATATGTTCACATCAAAAATACTTCGTTTTAACTGCCAAACTTTGTGAGGAGCCATATGTGTGCATTATTTTTGCTGTTATGCATAATTTATCCATGAGCCCCAGGTGTTATTGTTTTGTTAACACACACACACACACACACACACACACACACACACACACACACTGTAGGCATAGTATTAGTTTATTGTAGACAGAAGGTCCTGAGTTACTGCTGCACAAAGATCGATTTATCAGCTTCACCTGACTGGCAGTGACCTCCAAGAAAAATTAAGAATGCCACATGGAGATTTTTTAGACACAAAACCAATCATCTCAACCAGCCAGATGTTTATTTGAATAATTGAATACTCCCCATCCCTTTCCGCACCCTAGTTCACTTAATAAGGCCTTAAGCAAACTGCATTGTAATAAAAATAAATAAAGGTCCATGTAACAGCACAGGCACATGCCACTGCATTGCACTATGTTGAGACTGCAGTGGCACGAAGCAGGACTACTTAGTTATCGTTCTTCAAGTTCATGCAGCATTCCTTGAAAGCGATTACATTATTGTAAAGCAATTTACACAAAGTCTTGATAAAAAGTAACAAACTGCCACTCTCATGTGGTGAATATCCCATTTATAGTCTGTTCATTCCATCATGCACGCACTTCTGTCTGTATAAACTAATCTACCACGTGTTAACAGAGCTGTGTCCTTATGCATTATGTAGCGTGTTGTTCAATATGTATCTAGTGAAACAATATGTAGCAAACTCTGTTAATGTTTTTGCTTTACTGACCTTTAAAGGTTAGTTTAATCCTAGTTTGAAATTGCTTTTTAATTGTCATTATGAACTTGTCCAAATGCATTAATACTAAGTAACTGCACATTATTTACCTTGTTTGGGTTTCAGGGTGTACGCAAGTATGAGTAAACTGGTGTTAAAATGGGGGGGTGGAATAAACTGATAGACAGATTCTTCTCCTTTCTCATTCTTTTCCCTCCAGATCAATGAGATGCAGTGGCCTGGCGGAACACAAGAAGTCCCCTCCTCTATTTGCAGCCAACCCTGCCGTCCTGGCCAGCGCAAGAAGACAGTGAAGGGAATCCCATGTTGTTGGCACTGTGAGAATTGTGATGGCTACCAGTATCAGGCAGACACTTACACCTGCAAGATGTGCCGCTTTGATTTGCGGCCTAATGACAACCACACTGGCTGCGTTCCCATTCCCATTGTCAAGCTGGAGTGGAGCTCCCCATGGGCAGTAATCCCTGTTCTCATCGCTGTCCTGGGCATCATGGCAACACTGTTTGTGGTCGCCACCTTTATACGCTACAATGACACACCTATCGTTAAGGCATCAGGTCGAGAACTGAGCTACGTGCTGCTGACAGGTATCTTCCTGTGCTATGCTACAACATTCCTCATGATCTCCACCCCTGATGTGGTCATATGCTCACTGCGAAGGATTTTCCTGGGCCTGGGTATGAGTATAAGCTATGCAGCACTACTTACCAAGACAAATCGGATCTACAGGATTTTTGAGCAGGGCAAGATGTCGGTCAGTGCCCCTCGATTCATCTCCCCGGCATCACAGTTAGTCATCACATTCAGCCTGATATCAATGCAGCTTCTTGGAGTGTGCATCTGGTTTGGCGTCGACCCATCACAAGCCATCATTGACTATGAGGACCAGCGTACAGCCAATCCTGAAATGGCCCGTGGCGTTCTGAAATGCGATATATCAGACCTGTCCCTCATCTGTCTGCTGGGTTATAGCATGCTGCTGATGGTCACCTGCACAGTTTATGCCATCAAGACCAGAGGGGTTCCTGAGACATTCAACGAGGCCAAGCCCATCGGATTCACCATGTACACCACCTGCATTGTATGGCTTGCCTTCATCCCCATCTTCTTTGGGACCTCACAATCAGCAGAAAAGGTAAATATTCAATTTGAAATGTGGTGGATGTATAAAATAACCATCTAAGCCCCATTCTTACAATCTAAATGTTTTAGATCTATGCTTGGAAGCCAAGGCACACACTAAGCTCTCACCTACTGCACTGTATTTATAAAGAGCACAATGGCAGCTAGTCAATTAAATTCACTTGTGCGTGTTGGAAGTCAGTTCTCCATTTAGAGTCCTTTTATATATCCTGTGCAGCTCATTGTGAAGAAAATGGCCACTTAAATTATTTTTGTTGTATAGCATCAGCCTGTTGTATTTGTGGATGCTGCCACTGTTCATCATGAGATGATGGGCTTTATGCACTGTGGGGATTACAAGGCTTTTAGAGTCAACTTGTGAGGGTAATTGATTCACCTCATGTTTGAATGTTTTCTTTAATTGTGTTTCTATGTGATTCAGCTTCACCGAGTGGTAATACCAAGTAGTCAATCACTGCACATTCATGCACACAGAAATAGATAACGCATGTTTGTGAAGTGGCATAAAATTACTGTCTTTCTTGTCAGTTGAAAATGAATCACAAATTACCTCTAACGTCGCTAATTTTGAGGTTGCTCAACACAGATGTACGCTGCACGATAACAAATATGACAGACTTTAGACTGCAACATAAAAGAGTTTGTGTTAAAAAGCAAGGTAGTGGATAAGTGTGCATTGACATTTGGCACTGGTAAAGTCATCGTCGAGCCCAAAGCCTCAACACCTGTTATAGCATAGAAAATATTTACTTGACAAAAGCAATGTGGGATGTGCCCTTTGAGGAAGGGACACACCTTTTGTTCTCCGCAGTTTAAAAAAAAAATATAGTTGTTGTAAAGGAGTAATATTAAGAACATTACCAGTTGCCCACAAATGTTTGGAGATCTTAATTCTTCCAGAGTACTCACTTCAGAGAGAAATGGAGAACAAAACACTGAGGCCTTCATCATGTTTTTAAGTTCCCTTTGATCTGTGTACAGCACAACAGCTTAAACTCTACATGTAATAACACAAACATACATTTGGAATTGCCTTGTGGCAGAATTCAGAATCCAGTTGGTCCTCTTTGCCAGATGTGTTTTTCATAAATGCGTTCAAATTCTGTTAATATCAACAGGTAGCATTAGACTGCCCAACCAGTGACTTGACTTGTTCTTTACTGTACTTTGTTACTGGTGGACTATAGAAGCTGTTGGCAGGACACCATGGGGAGAAAATGTTTTTATAAAATAATTTCCTGTTAACTGGTTTATCATTTCACAGGGACACTCACTTAACTTAAAGTCATTCACGTAACTTTTCCCAGTGTGATCAATAGCTAATGCATGTAAACAGCCAGGGATGAGACAAGCAGACAAGATAGAAATAATCTCAATTCTTCACTTGTATTTGTGCTACTGAAGAGCAGGTGGATAAATAATTGAAAGGGGAAGTCAGTCAAACTAACAGGGTTCCAATTAGATCCAATTGGCATTTAGACAGTTTGTAGACTTGTTATGTTGTTATTACAAACAATGAAGCCCAAATAAATTTACTACTACAGACAATGAATTAAAAATCTTTAGACAGTCTCACTGTAAAAGGACATCACCAACTATACTATTACAAGAAACAGTGTATTAGAACTGTATAAGGCCATGTAAACTTAGTTTTATTTTCCATCTTTCGGAAAGGCAATCTACTTTTATTTCCCCAGATGGAATATATCCTACTCTTTAAGTACAGTCTTATATACACCAGATTAATTAAATTACTTTAAATATTAATTCAATTAATATTGAATGTGACTATCCATGAAATGTGTATGTTTTATTGAAATACTCTTTATTCAATACCCCATTTATTAATAATTTAAAACATGATATTCTATGGCCTATTAAGATCTGGCCCTTTAAATTGTGTTCCAAAGACAGTCACTGTATGTTTGGAATCAAATCAAATTAGATTTAACAGGCATTAATCACAGCAGAAATTTGGATTCATAACTGCAGGAAAAGCACAGGTGATACAAATTTAACAAGTATAACAATGTCTCAGTTTTGTTGAGGTTCCCAGTAAACTATGTGATTCAGCCAGTACGCAAAATACCAGCACCCTGGATTGAACAAAGTCATATATAATATTTTTCATTACATCATTGCTTTTCCTGCAACGACATGCACAAATATTTGCTATTAGAAAGGTCTATAGGCCTTTTTCACACCACGTACAGTATTTTGACTTGTCACAGTAGGAAAAGCACGTGCTACTAATTACTAACATTAATAATGGCTCAATTCTATTCGAGTGTCCCAGTAAGCAACGACAGTGAACCAGCATGCATAATACCAGGAGGCTGAAACCAAAGTAGCCACATGGAATTCATTAATTATATTATTTACACCTTTGCTTTTCAACTGCCCCATGTCAAAATGTCTTCTGTTCAAAAAGGCCAACAGGAAGTATAGACAATGAATTATTTTACAAGTCATTTAATGGATTTTTTTTCTATGTTCAAAAAAACCTTTAGCCAAAATATTTGGGCATGAGGACTTGAAAGGACTGTGGAAGTGTTTTCTGTTTGCATGCTTTGCGTGTAGGTAGGGACAGCTCTGGCAGCTGTCTGGACAAGAGATTTGATGCCTAATGACAAAAAGGAGCAATCCTGCTTCAAAGAAACTTCATAATGGTTCTGCCCACTGAGGTTTCTGTCCCCAGCCCTGTTCCCTCGCTGTGCAGATGGAGCAGATTGGCAATCATATCAGCGTGTCAGGGAAAATTTATGTCACCAGGGCCGATGGAAGTGGACAAGGGTCTTGGCTCCCCTCACAGAGTGACTCCTCTCTGTACTCCTGAGGGGTAGCAATATTGTTCCGAACTCACCCCAGGCCACATGTAATCTTCTCAGGAGATTACAACACTCCCCCTCTATCCCCCTCTATCACCAGTGAATGCTCATGTGCTGCTTGCAGTATGATAGAATACAATGTCCTATCACTTCCATTTTAAACTGACATCTTTTTTCTTAACTGTCATGGCTTTAGGGGGCTTAATTTGTGTAACGTTGCTCTATAGTTTTTGTTTTTTATTACATAGCCATCATAGTCACTGTATGGCAGGTCATGCTGTTTATTTTATTTTGCACATCTTTGCTTTCTCACTTATACTGACTGAATGACCACCAAAACACTTAAATAGCAAAAGTAAAGCTGCACAAATGCCTTACTCAAAACATGTAATTTGAAATATTACTCTTATCTTGTGAGTAGTAGTAATACTAACTGACATTTACCTACAAGCTTAGACTTTCATGGTGCTGAAAAGGTTTATAAAAAATCTGTAAGCATCTTGAAATGAGGAGATAAATGTTCAAGTTCACATACAAACAACATATTGCCTAACCTCATGTTGGGGAAACATCTATAACTGCTGACATGCTGGCATGGACCTTGGCAAGGACCCTGCAGGTTATTCCCATGCCAAACGACTAAGTCATTTGTGATGTCTAAGAATGTAATGTCAGACAAATCCTCAGGCAAATCTCTTTGAAGGATGTCTGCCAGCTGTGTTTCCACTGTACACTCTTCGCTTTGTGTTCATCAACTTCAGAGCAGCAATTTTCATCCAAGAAGCATAATCTGTTGTTCTCTTCTCCCTCTTTTTTCTAAATAAGGTTTTTGACACTGGAAGACTTTGAAAAGATGGAATAAGATCCCTGTGAAACAAATCTTCAATTCCTTTGATGGGTTTTAATTGTTTGCATGTCTGTTTTCTGCATTTGGTCTGTGCAAGAATCAAAGAATCTGTCAGTATCAACTATAGTCTAACTATTATAGTTTTACAGCCTCTGTGCTGACTCACCACATTCCCTACATCGACAAATCAGAGACGGACTGTGTATGAGCACTGGGATGATTATCATAAATGAAAAATCACTGGCAGGCACTTTTAATATGCTGTAGGATGTCTCTCTCTGCTCCATTGTTGTTGCCTGTAGCTATATATGTGCTACCCAGCTGTGAGTTGCAGCTGTCACTGGCTTCAGAGAGTACACAATCCTTATGCTGTCGTCAGTGGTGTGCCATCAGGACAAGTGAGGCAAGCAGTGTTTGACCAGCTAAAGTTATAAATAAAAAAATAAACCAATTAGAACGAAATTAAAGTTGAAGCCATATCTCTCTTGTTGCGGCAGCAGGCTATTGTCTCTGGAAGCTAGGTTGCCTATCAACTGTTTGTCTGTCATTTTAATGGGCATGTTCGTGTTTCATTGACAAGGGCCGGGTTCTGCCAAGCAGCGAGGGCAGCAGCATTTTTGGACATTTGCACATATGCATTGTGGATAATCATCGGATCTTTGACAAGCTATAGCTAGCCACAGACAAGTGTGCAAGTGTACTCATCTGTAAACGTCACCACAAGCTGCTGGCTGTTGGCTAAAGCCTCAGGGTAAAAACCTCTAAAAGCAGATGACATAGACCCCCATTAGGGAAGTACTATTAGTTGTATATCATAAATTAACAAACAGCAATGAAAGTAGAGCTCAGGAGTGATGTACCCAGCACATGAAAATAAAAGACTATGAATAGAGGATACTGTATGCCACGTTATTATGTGATGATTATGGGATACTGTGTGTTTTGCAAACTTAAGTGCCTCTACATAAGACGCTGTAATTTACATGAAAATGTTATCCTCTACTATCCACTTATGACTGCAGTGTGAGTCCTACATGAAAGACTTCCTAGGTCATCACATGCCCCAGAAACATTCTTCTTTCTGTAGCTTTATTAGAAAATTGCCTCTTACATATGAAATAGATTTTCCTTCATGGACTAAATTCAAGCTGTGCAAGCGCAACCTTCTCTACTGTGTGCTCAGCTTAATCTGAGATTCTAAAACTGGAACATTACTGCCCATCACCCAGTGCAGCCTCAACAAATTATTCTGTTTTGTCTCCCACTGTCTCTTCCGTAATACAGATGTATATCCAGACCACAACCCTGACCATCTCCGTAAGCCTCAGTGCTTCTGTCTCTCTGGGAATGCTCTACATGCCTAAGGTCTACGTGGTTCTCTTCCATCCAGAGCAGAATGTACCCAAGCGCAAGCGCAGCCTGAAGGCTGTGGTCACTGCAGCCACTATGTCCAACAAGTTCAACCCCAAAGGTGGCCTGAGGCCCAATGGAGAGGCCAAGTCTGAACTCTGTGAAAGTCTCGAAACACAAGGTGGGTATCACGCCTGATAAAGCAATAAAGAGACAGGAAAAGTGAAAAAAATACCTGAACCAGGAGCTGATTTATATGCTGATGCAATGAGCCATTTCTGAGAAAAATTATAGCAGTTATAGAATACACGTCTACTTGAAAATAATTAACTCCTTTTAGGTGACAACACAATTGATGGCATTATTATTTTGCACTTCAACAGTCTGGGAAATTAGCAAGCATAACATAAGTATATAAGAAATTAGGGTGTTGTTTTGGTGCCAGCTAACGTACTGGTATATATGGAGAGGAGCCGATGAAATAAACAGAATTGTGGGAGCAATTAGAACTGATTTCACATTAGCCTTTAGCTAGCATTGGATTGGGGCCTTCTTAGTTCCCTGTTCAAAGGATTTAATTGACCAGTGGAAGGCCAAATTACAATTGCCTTCAGTTGATTAATATAATATACATAGTATATTACTCTTCTTAGATTAGGCAGGATTTAATAATATTTTAAATACCGTTATATTCCACACTGGAAATACAAAAAAAAAAAAGTGTTTCAAAAAAAGGCAGGAAGCAATTTTCCTGTTTCACCGGGATAACCTAGCATTTTGAATACATGGGAGAGAGAAATAGTTCAATTCTCAGTAACACTCACCACACTGGATTTATGAATCAGGAGGTGTGACAGGGTGCCCACACTATTCTGATTATGAAAGGGACGAAAGAGACGGGTAGCTCAGTGTTGGAAAAGAAGATATTTCAATCACAAAGATAAAGTATGCCAGATAAAGTGTAGGCAATCCCTGTGTGGTGGCAGGCTTAAATCCAATCAAGCAACCCCACATGTTCTGATTACTGAAGGTCCTGATTTTATACTGACACGCTGAAGAGTACTGAATGATGTGTATTAGGACTAAAAAGCCTGCACTCACACTTGCATGTATGCCCTTTTTTTTTTGACGTGAGAATGGAGTTGTTCTATCTTATCCTATTATGGAGCTGATTTATAGGTGCTGACTCTCACCCTCTGGTTTGAACTGTGAATCTAACAAATGCTCTTTGTGCTTATGTGTCAGACTGTGTTGAGGGAGGGGAGCCTTGTGAGGGACTTTAGACTCTCAGGTAACCAGATTAGATAATGATTTTCCTCTTTTAGTATCTGATCACTTTTTTCCAGTTAATTTCTGCTAATGTTCACCACAACCCCCATGCCTGCCAAAACTATGCACAAAGCATCCCGGCTGCCCCTGGCTAAAATACAGCACCCCGAATGACACAAGGCAGTAATCACGCCCTCACAAATCCACCCATAACCAACAGACATTAACTTGGATAGACAATATTGGTGTGTGGTGCTGTAAAATGGCCAATCAGCATGGTAAAGCCTGTTAATGTGGGAAGATGACACCACTCTGCCTGAGTGCAGGAGACAAGCGATAGCCATGTGTCCCCTGTAATTTGTTTCCCTGTTGACAAAAGAAGGAATATGTGGTAATGGGACAACGACAACAATAAGAGTGAACAGGAAAAGACAGATGGGTCTGCCAGCTCCAATTCTTTCTGGACCATCTATTCTTTATCTTGGCCTCGCAGCACATAAATATTCAAATAAGGTTCATTTATCAATGCTTCTCTTGGAAGAGATGCTTTGGATGAAATGCCGAGAATACCGCCCCCACTCACACACCCAAATATACAGAAACGTTTACCATTACACATCTCTCTCTACAGCACTTTTGCCCTGACTCTGGCTTTCAGCTGTCTTCTGATTGGATTCATCCCCTCTGACATATTCAATCAGCCAAGGCTGCTGTGGGCAGATTGGCAGATTGGTAGTGTGATTACCTCCACTGAGCATGCTCGCTGAGGACAGTTTTATTTAAAAAGTGACAAACAGGTACACGCTGACACTTGCACACAGACATGCGTGTGCACACGAGCATGATGGCACGCATACACACTGGTACTGTATGGTGTGACAGTCCCGTTTGACCAGCAGTTTGGGCTTGTTATGGTCTCTGTGTTCTGCCCTCCGGTCATCTGTCTCATGTGTTTTATTCGCAGCTGATGTAAATTTCATGACACATTAAAAAGCACCAATATCAAACATTGATGATAACACTTATAGTGCCAAGTCAGATCACATATTGTCTTAATAGCATTTTACACTGAATACACTTTACAAATCAAAACGGTAACACGCTGACTGTTGCATGCTTTGCTTGGTGCACAGAGAAATCTCAGGTCTTTGCATGTGGTAACAGACTTGCATTTGAATGATTAGTAATGCATTTTATACCAATGTTGTGATCTGCTTGGTGACTCTATAGTGAATTATTTTATACAATGACATAAAGAGCTGTGAGGAAAACATTGTGACAGAGTTTTCCCTGATTTCATGAATACTGTAATAGCAGGTACTTAAACTGCTTTGACCAATAACCGGTGATTCTAAATCAATCTGCATCAGTGTCTTTGCAGATATTGCATTGATGGTACATTGTAAAAATATCATCAGTGTTACAATGTGCTATAGCAATCAGTGATTCATTTACAACATTCAACAGTATTTTTTATTTTATTTTTTCCAAATACTATTAACTTGTGTTAAAATCCATTTTAGAGATGAAATGATTCATCGATTAGTCAATCGGCAGAAAATAAATGGGCACATATTGAGATAACTGATCACTTGGGGATAAATATTTCTTATATTATTATAGATTGAATATCTTTCAGTTTCAGGTTTTCAGGAGAAATTTTTTTTATATTTGACAGATTTAAACAGACTAATTGATGAGGAAAATAATTATTAGTTGCAGCCCTAAACTTTGGTTGTTTGTTTGTTTTACATCACTTTAACAGTTTATTCTGAATCTCAGTCACATCTTTTATGTCCTCAGCTTCACAAATGACAGTTTGAATGCAATACAACGATAGAGGAGGTGTCCTTCCTGTAAATACAGTTTTTACATTATAACATCCTGCTATTATATTTGGTTCCACCTGCACCTGTTTGATGAAGTCATCCATAAATAGAGCTTCCCATCCCAATTTGGACTCCAACATGTGCTCTGAAAGATTACAGTATCTGCATTTTTAACCCTTTCTCACTTTCTCCTACACCTTCCCTTACAGTGCTGGCCTCCAAGCAGACATACATAAGCTACAGTAACCATGCCATCTAAGACAGAGACGACCCGTGGAAGCAGAGCAAGGAACTGCCTGAGGAGAAATCACCTGATTCTGGGGAATACTGGGGAAATACTGGAGGACTTCAAAGCTGCTACAGCAGAGAGGACTGGGGTGGAAAGATGGGAATCTGTCACTCCATAAAGAGAAAGGATGTCATATTTTTTTTAGAGAATCAGGTAAAGGCTTGAATGCCAAATTTATGAGAAATTATTAGATTTGCAGGAGGGAGTTGGAAGATGTCAGGGAGATTGGACAGTTAATTTTCCTCTTCCCACCCTTTCTGAGACACAAGTGGGCGTTGACCAGTGACGTGTCCAGATGCAGGCTGAGCAAACCACCTGGAGCCTACAGTATGTTTTCCTTCTGAAGTGTATAGCACACAATTTCAGTTCTCTCTGAGGCTGATTCGTTTGTCTCATTTCAACAAAAACAGGGAGAAAAGTGTTCTGTTTTTGCTCTAGTCAAATACAGTGGACAAGATGAAACAGCATAAAAATATAGTAATTATTTTTGGTTACTGGTATTATTGGAGTTGAAAGCTGCAGTACTCTTCAAACTGTACATGCCTTACTACAGTACATTCAGTATTCCTACATGAACTAACCATACCTGAAACACCTGAAAATAAAGCAGTGGGTCATCCCAGATTTTTTAATAAATGTTTCATAATAATGATGATGACGCCATCATCTTGGCAAACCTAGTGTACAGTCCCAGAGCATGCTTGTGGGAGCATCACGTGTACTGTGCTGTGTTGTCAACGTCTATGGAATGCAACATTTGTCATGGTCGTCATTCACAGTGGAGACGTCCTTTTGGACCATTACCCACTGGGTTACCCTCTGCTGAATAAAGAGTAATTTATACACAAAAGGAGCCAAACCTTTATGGTTTACACCACACTCCATAAATGTCAGCCAGACTTGACGATGCATACTTTAAACATCCCAGATTTATTGGCCCTTATTTATCATGCTCTTGTTAAAGCCTTCTCAAAGTCAAGCAGTTGGATTGAAGTTTCTGTATTTGTTTAACTTCCATTCCACCCAACATTGAAGGTGCAGTTCTTGACAATAACATAATTACCCAAGGTTGTTTCCGTATTACCCTGTGTTTCCTGTATTTGTGTGTTTCTGTGTTTCGAGATAATAAACCTCATTACAGTATATTCTGTCAGTAGGTACAGTGCTTGATGAAATGCTTGGTTTTTGAAGGAATAACACAACACACCAGTCTGTTGTCATACCAGATGTATTATTTTAAAGCTTGATGGTATAGAATATGATAGATTGCAATTGACAGTATCATATGGGGACGCCCCCTGTTATTTGTGGTGGATGCACCTTTTCACAGATTTTTTTTCCTCTTCTGCAACATGAATTTTGAGGCTGCAGTAGAAATGATTGATGACAGTTTCAGTTGTGTTCTGGGTGCAAAATTAGGCTCATGTAGTTAATCAACATGAAGATCCTTTTGGATAAGTTATGTTCCATCAAAGAGCCAAAATGTTCAGAAAGATAATTATGTGGATGGCATACAGCACATGGCATTTCCTCCTTAGGAATGTTTTACCTTTCAACAGACTCAGTGTTATGTTACGTTTAAGTAGTCTCCATAGTCCTAGGGGAAGGGATTTTGCTAATTGCCTAATTGCAGATTTTCACATATACAAACTATACATAAAACAGCCACCTCATTAAACCTAAGCAGACTTTGTTACAGTAAACCTGCATTAAGTAACAAGGTCAATCATAGTGTGGATATTTTTTTAGCTTGTAGCCCCATTTAGCTCATTGCTTTGTTTTCTTATCCAACACACAGACTGTATGGTAGAGTGTTAAGGCTATCAACAACGCCATGCAGGGTTCTATGCTTACAACTTTAGGGGCACTGGCACACCTATATGAAAAAATTAAGAGGCACAGAAAAAAATGTAGTGGCACAGTTTAACTTTTAAAGAAATATCATTAATGCAACTCTTTTTTTAAACATTAAAAACACAATATGCATAAGACACAGGAGCAAGATATTAATAAAGAATTTTGAAACAAAAAAGTCATATGTACTTGGGACCTAACAAAGGATCAGACTGCATTTTGCTTTATGAATTCATCCCTTTTAAAAAAGCATAGAGTCTATTAATGAACTTCAGGATTCTGAAAATAGGGTTGTTGTTTAAAAGCACTTTTTCCAGTCGTATCCAATATCAAGGTGGACATGGAGTTCACGCTTGTTAGCAACAACAGATTTGACCTGTATTTTCATTTTAACCGGTGAAAGCGACAATTGACACCAGCTAAAATTGAGATGCGTCTACCTGAATGTTGTGTTCACTGAGCTTTGACAATGTCATGTTTTCTTCCGTGGGCTCTCTGCTCTGCTGTCTGCTGTGTGTGTGTGTAGAGGAGCTGAGCCCTTGGTCAAACACCGCAGAGAGAGCAGAACAGAGAAAGAGAAAAGACACTGCATGCACTATAAACATCAAAACCATATCTTGCAATCTGCTAAGCTCTCTCTCTCTCTGGCCTCTTCAAGAACCAATAAAATGCTCCCGTTCATCACAAATTTAGAACCAGTTAAGAATCGGCTCAGAGTCACTCGCACTGGCGCAATGGTGTGAGTGACCCTGAGTTCTGAGTAATTGTTCATATTCACACACTGCTTTTCACTCAGATACACACTGTAGAGACCTGGCCTGATATAAAAGTACAGGCACTTTTAATTTCTTTCGTTTTCAGCAAACACACTCAACGATGACTGCACCCCACCTTCGCAGAAAACAGCAAAGATAAGCAGTAAACCAGTGACTGATTTAGCACCTAGCAAGTTAAAGTTCCACATATTTTTTCACAAGAGTTGGTAGACAGCAAAACGGAGCTCAAAGGTCAGTGAATATTAGACCTAGATTTGTGAGGTGGTCAGAGGGATGACAACAATAGGATATCGATGTTGTCCAAGTAGGCAGCTGTTTGCTAACATGTTGATGAGCCAGTGGCATCTCAGGTTTGGGTTCTGTGTATTTCTGCCCCTTATTGGTAAAAAAAAAAAAAAAAAAATTTTAAAAATCATTTAATGCAGCTTTAAACTTCTACTGAGATGAAAATCACTTCTTAGTCTGTCTAACATTAATCAATTTTTACAATACTGACCACCTTTCATTTTTAGATGAAATTGGAGGATGTAGACCTGCTTGATAAATAAGGGCCAGTGCCTTCATTCTGTGCCTCATACCCATTAAATTACCCCTGCCATTCTTTCCATGGATTATTCATGGTGTTTTTTTGTGGGAAGAAGAAAGGAGTCAATGTACAATTTGCAATTGTGTGTGCAATCTTCATTTCTGTCTCCAGTCTCTGAAGTATTTGTCATAAACAGTAACTCTGGAATTTGTCTCATTAAATGTTATCCTCAGCAATGCAAAAACCTGTATGTTGCATGTCAAAACCCATAACAAGTCATGTGAACACTTAAAAAGAAAGGTGTAATGTCCAGAAGGAAAACTACTGCAGAGGATTATAAATAACTAATATTTTTGGTCAAATCAATGATTCTCTCAGCTTCAACAAAAGTCTAAGGTGTTGCCGCAAATGTTGTTTTCTCATCATTTGACAGAGTATTGTTTGTGGGATTGTTTGTGTTAGTGAATATGATAATTTACTGCTTTTTTGCCACAAACCCCCCCCCCCTTTTTATTTTTCTAAAACACTTTGTCTGTGTTACAAAATAGAATATGTAAGTGCTGACTGAAATTAAATGGCAAGTTAATGTATGTTATTAAAATGGATTGATCATGTCTGCTTTATGTACTGAATTATTTAAAAAAAAAAAAAGAAAGATTAAAAAAAGAATTACAGTGCCTGGATATTTATGAATTATCTATAGAAAAAAATGTGTAGAGCATGTTCATTTTTATACAAGATATTTCTAATAAAAGACTGTTTTGCTAACAAAGTGTTGCTGTTTCTTCTTTGGTAGCATGGTTCATTAGCAGTGCAATAGTATATTCATGTTCAATAGTGACATAAGTACCAGGTGACGATCAGTAATCCTTATTACTCAATTCTTCAAATTGACACAATATGAAAGACCAAGGTACAGACATGCTCTGTGCTTGTAATTGAAATGTAAATGCGCAGAAATTATGATGTTGCCCTTGGGTGGACATTCAATGTAGCTATTAACCTGTCAGTCCTGTTCCAGACCTGGATCACCAGGAGCCCCGTCCTGGAACACACTCAATGACAGGCACACAGAAAGCGTCGGGGAAGAGACTGACAGCACTGGTAAAACCTTTATGGATTTTTTTTTACCAAGGCGGCTGCCCGCTGGGATTTGTCCCAGTATGCCCAATGGCCATTCTGACTGGGGCTGCTACCAAGGCTCACTGACTGCTTTGTCAACCCAAGGCTGGAGGTAGACAAAGCGTTTTAACCAATAGATGTCGCTGGTGGTGGTGGTGGTGGGGGTTTAGGTGGGCATTTTTTAAAGTGGCTAAAATATTTTTTTACTGCTGTCCCTGTCAAAATATAGCCTGTATAAGGGAAAAGGATTGGGAAGCCCGAGAGAACACGTGTAACATGTTATTTTACATTCCCTGAAAAAAAAAAATCTAAATTTTCTATCCCATAATTTTCACTGCTCAATCATCAAGTCATGTGATTTGCCAGAGGAGAGCTTGTCTGGCGGCTGGAAAGACAAACAGATTTCATGATCAGTCAAAAATACAAGATTGGGAAATAACATGGAGAAGATCTCAAGGCCACTGTTAAGCTGTGACTTATTTTTCAATGTGATCCTGAATCAATACATTGACAACTATGCAGAAACTGTAATGAAACATGAACACAAGTCAAATACAGCGTAGAATGAAATGCTGTGTGTGTGTTGTGAATTTTACCAGTAATCACGGAAGCCGCAACCCTAACCTCGGTTTAATGGTGGATCAATATGGTCAGCTACATCTGCAGCATAAGCCTTGAACAAATTCAAAAAATATCATACTATCTATAAAAGCTGACAGAATTATGAGCCATTCTAAATGAAAAGTGGAGCTAGTGAAACTATCTTCATAGCGGATTTATTGCAGGGTTGAAATTGCACCTGGGTGATCACTGATACAGCATCATTAGCCTTGAGTTTTAAAGTAAATCCCTTGCCCTGCACAATTAGCAAAACAGCAGTATGTACAAAATTGTATCGTCTCTCCTTCTCTGTGAT